TGTTGAAAATCAAAAATGGTCTGCCGCCACAAAGGAAGAGTGGTTTGAGAAAGGTATTAATTGTTAATGGGAATTTCGCTGATAATTTCTTCTGTTTCATTTTTTGTTTTATCTATATTTATAACGGTCATAGCTGCAATTTTTCTCATTTAGATTACCGAAAACGCCAGAAAATATGGTGCAGGGCCACTATTTAATCAGATTCTTCCACTTTTGATGTCACCTTCGTTAGAAGATCAGGAGCGACATCTTATGGTTAAGGTAAGATTAAAAGCCTAAATTGTCATTTGGTTGGAGATAAGCTCAGAAGTCAAGGTGATTGTTGTTTAAAAATGCTTTATTACTGGAGAGAATAAGTAAAAACGGGGCTCGGTTTGCAGTATGCTTATGCTAAAAATGACTTACTACATTTCTCAAGCGCTTTCAAGAACAGTTATTCATGACTTCCCTGCAGTAGCTGCAGGCGTTTAAAATAAAGTTCGCGTTGTGTTTGAGTGCCGAGCCCTGTAATATGAGCAGCTTGCTATCAATAGGTACTAACCTAACACCATTTTAAAAATTCCCTCTTTGCACGTGCGCTTTTAGAGTGACGCGCAGAGCAAGGGGAATCGTGGCCGCAGATTCTCAAGTGGTAAGTTTCGGTAAGTATCATATGCCAATGAAAATGCGATTGTGGAAGCAGTGCTGTCTACACACGCAAAGAATTTTTGTACTTTATTTATGTAGCAGTAGAATAGTGCTAGTTATGTTTGCTATAACTTATGATCGAATCAGGTTCCAATTTCTCATTACAGGTAATCGACCGTATACTGTACAAGTTGGATGACCTGGTTCGTCCATATGTGCACAAAATTCTGGTGGTCATTGAGCCACTTCTGATTGATGAGGATTATTACGCCAGAGTGGAAGGTAGAACAATTTTTGCTGACTTTCATTTATATTTTCACAGCAATACTGAGGTTTGCCGCTGAAAATTATATATCTTTAAGCTTTATTCATAATCGCTTCGCATAAATTTTGCCATAATTGGAGGAAGTAGCAATTTTTCACTGAGGAAAATAAAAATATGAAATGTTTCTTCTGAATTTATCT